TGGGAAGGTCTTCTTCATAGTCCACTTTCAGTCACTGACACGTCGTTTAGTAGTAACGTCGGCGCCAGCTCCCTGCTACATTTGGTTATCCAAAAGTCGGCTTTTATCAACTCGGTGGATCACTTAGTGCCAACGTCAAACGTACCGATAGGGATTCCACAAGGTCACACGCCAGCTCCCAATAGTGTGTTCAGTTATCTATCTGAATCACACCGTTGGAGAGTTCTGACCCCCAAACACCTTTTGGTTGTTCACCATCTGGGCATCGTACTATACACTTGAGCGGTTCAGGCGTGCACCCGCCTCGCGTCATTATTGAATACAGCAAGATCCAGATCTATGGTTTAAACCTTACAGATCACGAGGTTACTTCGGAGATCAAGAGGCCTTGCAAGATCTCGGAGTACCGACGGTCAACAACCATGGATCTACTTTCGTGGTTACTGGAAATACCATTCTCCAGGAAAACGGTTTCGTCAAGCCAAGATCACAGACAAGATCCACAATGAGAAAGCGATCTTACTCCTAGATACCGGCACCAAGGTGCCCATCGTGAACACTACCTTTGCTCGTAAGTTTGGGTGCTATATCGATTCGAGCCAGATCCAAGCCTGCATGGGAATTGGTGATAATGTGTACCGGAAAGATGGAAGGACCCCGGTCAAGGTGACTCTCGCCGGATCATTGGTATATTTCATCGATATATTGGTCGGTGATCTGACTGGCCAACTAGCTATACTTGGTATGGACTTCATGGTCCCAGCCGGGATCCGCTTGAATCTAGCTCATGGATCAATCAGCTTGCCTGATAAGTCCGGATCCAGCTTAGCGGGAGACGCCACCTCTATAGTGACAAGGCGAAGATCGTGAATGTCGGCCAACATCTTCAGATCCAAGCAGGAGGGTCGACGGAGCTGCCATTACGCCTGAGATCGTCGATCCACGACACGCTGTGGGTCACACGCGGGGATCGATGGGTGCCCACAATATCCGATGGCCCAGGGAGGACAAAGTACATCTCGATCACCAAAGTCGGGGACGAGGTGTTGATCCTGCATCAAGAGCAGCGGATCGAGATCTGACTGGCCGGGGATCATGTGCCGCGACTACCGGGTTTCATCTCGATCGGGTCTCGCTGTTACATGTAGTGACAGAACCTAGCGTTAAAAGCCACGTCAGACGCTCGATCCGAAGATACGAAGATCGAAGCCCCGCTGGAGCCCACGGTAGAGCAACCCGAGTACAAAACTCTACGAACAATACTCCAGAGGCCGAAGACGACGTCGAACAAGTGTCGGAAGGTCGAGGCGAATCAGGATCAAATGTTCCCGACTGCCTACCTTCGGACAACTCGCCGTCGGATAAGTCGCAAGACAAATCGTCCTCGGAGATTTGACCGTTGGATCTAGCGTCTGTCACAAGTGAGGAGCCAGATCTGTCATCTATCGCAGATGGAGACTCTATATCCCATGTCGTAGCGGTGAAAGAGGAGCTGGAAGATCTCGATCAAGTAACGCTAGATGCCTGGGTGACTGGTCCGTCGTTGGAAGAAACTACAAGTGTTATGGAAGCGCGAGAAGAGAAAGGTCGATATGGAATTGGAGTCGCCAACCAAAATCAACTACATTCGAGAGGTCAGGATCAAGGAACATCACCGTCGAAATGAGGTGGATCCGATCCACCATCAACGATGAGTGTACAATCTGGGACGGAACATGTGGCCAGTGATCCGTTGAACGACAAGTGCGTCGCGTCTATGTCGCAAAAACCGGACGTGGACCCATCACCAGTTGTTGAAGATCAACCAGGCGCGTCGGATCTGGACCTCACCTGGGACTCAGATCAAGATTTTGATGAAAGTGTATATTACCATGAAGGAAGTGATCTGTACGCGGAAGATGTCGACGGTCAGATGGCGGTACTGCCAGAAGTGCCCGTGACGACGGAAGATGTGAAGATCGAGGACATTCAGCGATGTGGATCTGATAATCAGGCCTCACAAGAAATTGATCGACTTCGCCAAAGGATCTGGAAGTTCCGGCACCTCTTGATTGGCAAAGGTAATGCCCTGCCCCCGACCACCTGAGGTGTTGTGTGCGACATCGATGTCGGAGGAGCTAGGCCTATCTCCCTGAAGTGTCGTAAGTTGCGGACCCAGTTCAGGGAGAAGCTGGCGGACTTGATCAAGCGTCTATTTATTTTTTGCCAAGATGATCAATTACTCTAGATCACCGTGGGCTTCCCGGATCGTGGTGATCAGCAAGAAGAATGGAGTGGATATCAGGTTGTGCATCGATTACCGGTTGGTAAACAGTCTAACTCAGCTGATGATCTACCCAATGCCCTTGATCAACGACTTACTTGAAGACCTGGAGGCGACACTCTGATATTGTTCTTTGGATATGGCGAGTGGATTTTGGGTAGTGAAAATGACGGATCGTGCTCGTTTGATCTCGGCTTTTATCACTCCCTTCGGACTATTTGAATGGAATCGAATGCCCTTCGGCTTGAAGAATGATCCCTAGATCTATCAACGTATGATCGACAGCGCGCTATATGGATTCACCTGGATCCCGAAGTCTGAAGATCATGGAAGTACTTCGGATTGTATTTGAGGACGGGGAACCGGTGGGTCCAGGCCAACCGTCCGTGCTTGGGCGTAGATCATACATCGACGACATCCTGATTCCAGCCAATAACTGGGATCAACTATGTAATCGCGTTGAGAGTTTACTCGAAGCGTGTGATAAGTGAAATCTGTCGATCAATGTGGTTAAGTGTTTCTGGAGAATGCCTAAGGTGGAATATCTCGGCCATAATGTCTCCCACAATGGTCTGGAGGCTAATCCGAAAGATCTGTCGGCATTGACAGATCTAGCATTTTCAGGATCACTTAGAGCCATGCAGTCATTTCTGGGAAATCGAAATCACTACAGCCGATTTATCGAAGACTACGCGATCTACGCGTCAGTTCTGTATGAATTACGAGAGATCGACTTTGCTGCGACGATGAAGGATGTCACCCAAACGCAGATCCAACGAGTGTTAGAGGTGGAGAGTGTGGATTAAAGATCACAGGAAGATCAAGCGATCGACCGCCGAAAGACTCTGGATCTGGAGGCGCTATATCTCACTGAAGTGGATCCGCGTTGGATCCATGCCTATCGATCGTTCAGTGTGCTTAAATCCAAGATCGCCACTACTCCGATCTTGCGGCACTATGATCCAGATCGAAGAGCTACGGTGCTAGTGACTGGGCCATTTAGGATCGTTGATGCAGGAGTATGACAAGATCTACTACCTGGTGATGTTCGCGAGCCGTATTTCAAGGTCAAATGAGATAAATTATGGAATCGCGGAGAAGGAGGTACTGGCCTTGCTGAGGATCCTAGATCTTAACTGCAATGCTTTGGTCGGACGTCCGATCCATGGGTTAACCCGACACTCTACCTTGGTGTGGCTCTTCAGATCCACAGCCCTACAGGGACGTTTAGGTCAGTGGGCTGCTCTACTGTCGCCGTGGAATCTCGAGATCATCAAGTGTGTCAAGGGTGAAGATGAGATCCTAGGAAAATTGGCGGCTAGTATTACGCCTAGATCACAGGTAGATAAGGCGTTGATCTCGACTGCCCCAAAATAGGAGCCACAGCGCAGGATCCAGGATCCGATCACCACCATTGGACGCGATGAGGATCTATACGCTGTTAGTTTCGATGGATCCGCTCGTGTCAAGAGGAGGGAGGGCTTCCAGCGCGATCATGTGAAAATTGCCTGAATGGAGGGTGTTAAAGGCTAGATCTGGCTACGCTGAAGGTCTAACAGTGAACGAAGCAGAATAGCATGGATTACCGTTTTGTTTGGATCTGTTGGAAGATCCGGAACCGCAACGTCTGGTGATCTGCGGAGACTTGAACCTGGTGATCCGACAAGTACGAGGTGAGATCGATTGTAAAGCACCGGGTTTGACACTGTTACAACAGCGAGTTATGGATCGACTACGTACTTGGCCTGATCACGAGCTGTTGCATGTTAAACGGGATTGGAATGGGAGTCATGACAGCTTAGCAAGTGCTGCTCTGCAACGATAATGTGGGATCGAGATTGGGTCTGAGAAAGAGATCCAGGATCTAGTGACTTTGAACCGGTTGGATGGGATACTGGCAGTGACGATCGAAGACGACATCGCACAGATATCTGCGGTAACGACCCGATCTAAAGCTAGATCTGGAGTGCGCATTAGGTCTGATCCAGATTCACTGCGTGAGGAAGTTGTGAGAGAACGGCGGATCGAGCGAATCCGACAAGCACGTAATGAGGAGTCGTGGATCTCTGGATTGAAGAAGTATTTGGTTGGAGAGATCCGAGATCTGACACAAGAAGCCGCTATGGTATTTGGATCTATTGCCATGAATTATGAAGTGGATCAGTCGGATCTACTCTTCTACTGCCCGACAACTAAGGAAGCCTGCTGGGGATCGAGACAAGTTGATGCGACCGGTGGTGCCTGAGACGCTTCAACAAGATATTTTGCTTCACTATCACACGAGTTTGCAGGGTGGTCATCAAGGAATTGGTCGAACCTATGATCGTATCCGCGATCACTTCCACTGGAGAGGGCTATATAAGAGCGTACAGCGATATGTGGGGAAATGTGTTGACTGCGAAACGGGCAAAGAACGACCTCCGATCCAAGGTGAGTCGCCTGGTAACCTTCAGGCAACATATCGGTTTCAGACCAATGCCATGGATTACATACCTTCCCTGCCCAAATCTTTCAATGGCAACACAGAGTTGTTGATCTTCGTAGATCTATTCTCGGGATACGTGATTGCAAAGACCAGCCCCTCTAGATCAGCACAAACAATCGCTGAGACATACGAAGAGTGTGTTTTTCGCAGATTTGGCGCAAGCGAAGTGATCCGGTATGATTGAGAGCCAGGCTTCATGTCTGACGTCTTCATGTCTTTCAACAAGATCTTGGGCCAACGCCAACGTGCTACTATGGCTTATCGACCCCAAGCTAATGGATTCGGAGAGCGTATGGTCCTGACGACCACCAGGGATCTTAGATGTATGTGCAGGATCTGGATCAAAGTGATTGGGATGAGTACGCGGAGAGACTCACCTTCGTGATTAACACCGCAAGGGATCGGGTCCAGGGTGAAACCCCTTTCTACATGATACATGGCTGGGATCCTAGATCTACTCTGGAAGCGGTGATCCCGGTAGGAAGCACTCACAGACACGATCGAGATCCAAGAAGGTGGCAATATCAGATGCAAAAGTATTACCAACAGGTTCGAGAACAAGTCAACCAACGTTTACGCGAAGCGATCGCGGATCGAGCCGATACACATAATGATCTGGAACGCCTACATACTGTTGGGGCCGGATCTAGAGTCTGGCTGTACTTATATCGAGTGCGTGAAGGATACGCGAATAAACTGGCGCACTTATGGCATGAGCCGTTTCGCGTCGCTGAAAAGTTCGGAGAATATGCAGTGAGGTTGGAGATTCCTGGGTCAACGTACAGCATCTTTCCGGTGGTACATGGTTCGAAGATCAAACCGGTCAGGATTTTCCAGATCAGCCTGTAGCTCGCCTAGAGGAGTCGGATGCAGATCGAATTGACTTCGATGAAGCTCTCTTACCTGAAGGCAGTTGGATCCAAGATCGACATCCAAACGAATATGAAGTAGACCGAATTCCCGATATGAGGACTGGTAAAAGGACAAGGTATAGACGGGTCTATCGAGAATTCCTGGTACACTGGCGTGGATATGAGGTCCGACTTGGGTGGATGAAGCAGATCTCAACTGTGGCGCCTTCCTCTATGCGTTTATGCAATACCGCACTAACCGTAACCGGTTTGGTGTGATGCAGTCTCATGAGAACCGTGAGATCTGGATACACACTGATGAGTCGGTCATTGGCGTGGTTGAAGGTCGATGGATCTGCTAGGAGGTTGCAGATCGGAGGCCAGAGTTTGCATAGGATTGTATATGACGCGGTGCCGATTGAGGATCTAGGTGGAACAAGTCTGATTCAGAAGTGGATATGGGGGCGAACGAAAATGAAGTCCGAGAGTGGATCTAGGGCTATATTATCTGGGAGATTATGGATCGAATGACGAATGACGAGTGTCGAGGGGTTGGAGTGAAGATCTGCGTGAAACAAGAGGATAGTAATTTAGCAGAATCATAGGATGTCAACGAATCAAGATGGGAGAAGAAAGTGATATGTATTATGGTTAACAGCTATGATGTCGGCAGTTCGTGTCAAACGAAGTCTGGATCACTGCTGCGGGCGAAGCGTATTGGGGTTCAATGCCGCCATGTTGAAGAAATTGCCTGCCAAACGTGTGATCCGACGAGCGGGGTGATCCACGTGATGCAGCCTGTAGTGTGTACGCCACGGATCTACAGCATCACACTCGGCGAGGGCCTCGATCAGGGTTGCCGGTTCACGACGGTGCAACTGAGGATCCGCGAGTTAGCTCTACGAGCCTCAATGCCAGGGTACCAGGCCACTTCATCCGTCCGCTTGGGGAAGTGAAAAAAAAACAGATCCAGCAGCAGATCCAGGTCACACCAGCCCTCGCGCATGGTGATCAAGAAGAGGTGTAGAAGCTGCTTCCACCTGGCGCCATCGTGAGATCCGCGATTCTTCCTCTCCACGACAAAGAGCGCTAAGTAGGGGTCACTGCGCACCTACACCGGTGAAACTGGAAAACGACGCGTGGGCTCCTAATATGCGATCAGATCCTGAAGCTCCACCGCGGAATACCTCTCGATCAGGAGCCCCAGACGACCGTCGATCGTGATCTCGAAATACATTGCCTCGGTTATGCTGGGACCAGTGAGGACGTTCCAGGGTAGATCAGCCATGAGGTCGCGGACTTCTGACCCATGATCGGATGGCTACAATACTGATACGATCTTGGGGTGGCCGTCCGAGGAACGTGGTCAGGAAAGATCCACTCAGGGCGAAACGGTAACGCACGATACAGCACTTCCTGGGTCATGGTCCTAATCGTGAGGGTGTTGATCCGTTGGATCAACCCCGGGATTCACATCAGCGATGTTGTACTGACGGGTCTGCTGACGGCCAGGGATACATTCGTTATCTGCAGCAAACAGGCGTCGTGGAAGCGTCGTGGGGGGATAGGTACCCCATCCAGATTCGCAGGAGATCCGCCGCCGGTGCCGCCATCGCTCGATGTATCACAATCGGGATCATTGCCCGATCCAGGGTCTCCAGCTCCGCCTGCACCGGTGCAGCGAGTGGCAGCATGCGCGTCGCCGCTGCTCGGATCGAGAGAGAGCCATCAGTGTCTGGGCCTGTAACATATCGTCTAGGACTTCGTCGTTGTCGCCTTCGGCCGAATTCCCTGGTGAAGTGTCATCCAATCCTTGGCCCTCACTGTAACGGGGTTACACGAAACTCTAACCGTAACGTTAACCGG